GATGATGTCAAGAAACCTGAAAATGACCTTCGAGTTGGGCACGGGAATATGGACCCTCCGTACCACATGTGGCCTCGTCCCAAATTCCAGGGGAGGGTGTTAGAGCTAGTGTGAAGGCTAATGCTAGGGCTAGGGTCAAAGTTGTATTTAGTGTTGGGATCAAGGTTAGTAGGGCTACGGTGAGAGTTGGAGGGTCAGGGCTAGGTTCACGAGGGCTGGTGTCAGGATCAGGATTAGGGCTAAGAGGGTTAAGGTTAGTGTAGATGCTAAGATTAGGTTTGAGGAGAGGGCACCTGTAGTACACGGAGGTCAATATTTCCGTATATTATTTGACCTTCATCTCCATCTGTGCCGTTTCCCCAGTCTACATTATAGTTTTGCGGAGGTCCTTTAAATTGCTGTGAGAGGACCTCGGAGGCCATTCTTTAGGAACGGGGGACTCCAACAATCTCACTTATAGAACTTTTCAGAAGAGAGAAATGTTCATGCACAAGCCAAGTGTTGGCCAGGAAGAAAGGGCAACCGTGGTGACAGCTGTGGCTAGTGCGCAGTACTAACTGAAGCAAAAAACTCAGAAAGTTCTGAATCGGTTTGATGAGCTATTTCCTCACAATCGCCAGGGCGGTCGACAACTTATCAGTATATCAGCTCGAAAGGCACCATGTGGTGTATAGAGAAACCGCGTTTGTTGAACCGTTGGGTAGACCGCTCTAGTAAGTCGGAAGCAATACTGACCGTAACTTGCAATCTACTTTGTATGGCAGGAAAGAGTAGTCCAGTTGTGAACAAAAGGTACAATCTGCAGAGGCGGCATTTCTGCTTCCAGGTTTTTATGCTGAACTCCCCCTAAGAGGCTGTTGTAGGCGCCGCGGATACGAGGGGACGTTTGAGCAGTTTTACCCTCGTCGACTAGGTCATGGTCTATAGATGCGCAGGGATTAATAGTGTCCTAGTTATAATCAGAAATATCATTTGCCCTGGTAAATTAAATCACATAAGCTTCAGTATTGCGCAACAAAGTCACGTTTTTGGTCACAGTGTCTCTTCGGGCTCATCTTCGAGGATCAGTGGGTGATGGGGTGTTGCGCACTCGGTTTGATCTCATCATCTATCGTTCTCTGCGAGCATGCCAAACACATGATGGAATGAACGATCAGACATCGATATTAGGTGCTTAATCGTTGGCGATCAGTCCCCCTTCAAGTGAGGTAGGCCCCAACAAAGGGTTCCGGAGACAAAATTACGGATATGGACGACATCCTCAAGAGGCTGAATGGAATGACCATATCCCGACGATGTCGAACGAACGCCTCCGACAGCCACTGTTTTACGGCGCTTGTGCCGAGAGAGTGCATATTGCCAACAGAAGCAAAGAGACGAGTCCCAGGAAGTAGTCTTGAAGAAGAAGACACGATCGCCGGGACAAAAGGTATATTAGCCTGACGTTTCGGACTCCTGTTGGCCCACAGTCTATTAACAAGTGCAATGATCTTCCCATGCAATACACCGTGCTGAGACTTCGTCTAGACGGAGTAATTGGCAACACGGGGAGCGCACAGGTGAACACTCCTCCCAACACCCCGGTCAGCGCGTCAGATGGTCGAGCAATCATCACACCAACATCCAACGCACGTGATGCAATTGCAGCAATTAACGACGCGAATGTCGACCATCACGCCACGTGCAACGATCCCTGATGAAAGGGAGGTGGAGCCGTGAATATTCATAGGTATGCGGTAAAATGGCTACTGCAGCCGCATATGCATGAACCGCCCTTAACTGCTTTTGTCTCTGATGATGGATTCGAGCAGGAACCCGAAACATCAGTCTAATAAAACTCTTGTCCCGGTGATCGTGTCTTCTTCTGTAAGAGCGCATATTCCTAGGCAGTACGCAGACTGTTCTCAAATGTGCCATATCGACCGCGGATAGGGAATCAGTAAGTTTGGGTTCACAAGCCTGGTAATCCGTTGGGGAGTCAGATGCAGGAAGTTGGAGTGAGATGCGCGATGTCAAAGATAACCAATAGGAACGTATGTTCGCTCTCACCGTCATCACGCCCATCCACGTCACCTTCAGTCCGCCTAAAACACGTGGCCCAACCCCCGGCTTGCAACACCATGACGCCGATCGGTATTTTCCACTTCATTGATTGACCGCAGGCGGCCGAATTGCGGGCGCATGCACTTTGGCTGACACTTGCGTGGGAGAGGGTTAGTTGCTACTGCCCGAAGTGCTGCCTATACACTCTCTGGCTCCTTAAAGGCTTGTCCATCTAGCTGTCTTCCTTGCCTTCTGACTTGGGAACCTTCAAGTTATCGAGTATCCTGCCCGGACAGATGATTCATACCCATTATCTTCCCCCCTCGCAAGTATTCTCCCTATTTCCGACATGAGTGAATCACTTTATGGCCAACGCTATCGTCAGATCTACTCGATATTCAAATCATACTCCAACAAGCAGGATAGCCTTTCCCCGCCACACGCGACGAAATAGCTCCAAAGCATGTCTCAATAGGCACAAAGAAATGGAGGTGAATAAAACCCGCCATGGCGCCGGGTCACAAACATGTCAACAACAATTATCTGTCTAGCCCGTCGCGTGCGACGACATCTGTAACGGAATGCGGCCCACTACGTAATCAGACACGAGGCGGTACGTGTTTACCTACCAGTAAGTAGAAGTCGGTAAACAGTGACTAAAGGCCCCAACTTGAAGTTTGGACGGGTAAATAACTCGTGGGGTTCCTTTTACCGTGTCATAGTTTTAGTTCTGACCCTCACACTAACCTTAACCACAGCCCTAGTCTTTACCCCAGCAGGGCAAAGCCACCAGCAATACGGGGGACCATATTTCCGTGCCCAACTCAAACTTCGTTTATATTGATGAGAGAATACGGGCTTTTATTATTTAGACGGCCAGCAGAGTACTCCTTGGTAGTAACTGCTCCACTGGCCCGGTCTCATTTGTGGTTCAGAATACAGATTACATCCTGAAGAATTACCATCAATATCTAGCAACCAATCAAGGCCAGGGACACAGTGCATGCAGATCTACGGTTCACGGTGCATGGAAAAAGCATCAGGAAAACCATCGCTATGTAAGAAAGTCGCGGGGGATTTGGCAGTTGCTAAACTACGTAGATTTTGGAGGGAATTAGTGGATGAAAGGAAGAGGCATTCAATTACAAACTCTATTGAAATAATGGCAATACAAGGAAGTAAAATTCAATCACATCACAGTCGAATCTCCTTTATTGTGTCTCCGTCTTCACGTCTTAGCAAAAACTGAAAATTGATGATATCATCAAAGTACACTTCTTTCGAAATCTTACCCGCATTTAATTTTTTCTTGGAAATGAATGCTTCGGGCGAATCATTGCCAGTAAATATTTCTCATATTATCAATGATTTTGCGGGTCAGGAAGGCAAGGGTGTGAACATCTACTTCACTCGCAATGAAACTAAGGTAGCGGAGTTGCACTGTATGTAGAATTTCTTAGGCTGAGCAGCAGTTGCTGGTCTTTCCGACTAAAAACATGAGGATGACACTTCCGCAAGGCGTTCAAAGGCGAGTGTGACATTTTCCGTAGCCCGTGCTCTCAGATTTGCCACAAATAATAAAAATCACGTAGTCAGTCCATCGTAGGCGCGTGTTTCCCGCAGGGATTTTCCTAGGTCACGCGCGCAAATGCGTGTGCAGTTATTGGCGGCTGGGCGCTTGAATGCAGTGAGATTTTGCTAACGTCTATATGCCTTCATGACTCACCAGCAACTGCGACTGTCGTGGGATGATTTCGACTTTCATGTCATTCATGTGTAAGAAAACTTGCGACGGAACGACGCAATCACCCAACCCCCTTCTCCCCCCTAGAGGTCAGCCTCCTATCTCACGAAACACCATCACCATCACCAGTCCCAGCACGATGCAGTCTTACAGGCCGATTTCCTGCCTGTCCTTAGTGAAACCGCACATTTGGACCACGCATCGCCCTAGGAACCGAGGGTCGAATTGAAATGGTCTTTTCTCAAAGTGGCTCTTACGACAGGCTCTCCTACGTGAAATTCGAGGCCTCACTCTCAAGTCCGGGCTCTAAACGTCTGGTAGGAACTAAGCCGTAAGTAGCATGCTTAGCCGGGCTGTTTTGTTTTGTCAGCCACCTTATCTCCGGCCGTTTTTGCTTTGTCCCTCTCCCAGAACGTGGTGGAAGCCGGAGGGGGTGGGGCAAGGTAAATGCACCGAAAGTCAGCTTCGTCATCAAGAGGCTGGCGCACAAGTCATTGTTCTGTCCGCTTTGCTAACCTCACCGTCTGCGGCAGTTGAACTATCTCGGCAACCGAATAGTAAATCCCCGGCAGTTGAGATTGTTGCCACCTACGAAAATAGCCTGAGATGAAAATTGTGCGGTTCACATTGTGTGAGAACTTTTGGGACCGATTAGGCGACTGGTTAGGGGCGTCCTCAAAGTCTGTGCCCTTTCATTTGCGTTTACATTTTCTGGATGCTGCCTGGTGCCCTTCAAGCGACACTCATACCATTCCTAGTTTGTTTTACAGTCGTATCGCACAAGTAATTGTATTTCTTGGCAGAGGTGCTTTCTGCGTCAGCTTGTCTATTAATTGTGTTAATCTGTTGGCTTCCTACTAAATACACTAGAGCTATTTTCCCGGCTGGTACTGAGTCTTACCCAGTCATCTTGTTTTCGTGCGAACGAGTGATGGGATTGCGCTACATAATTTTAGTTATGGGCGATATGGTGGTCCGACGGCCTCATTGTCTCTGAACTACCGGCGAGCCAGTGTGAGAAGAACACGCCGCCGCAAGTAACATGCACGATCGTGGGTCAGAAGATGTCTGTTCGGGAGCGGTGGTTAACTTTGTGTGGTTTGCGTGGGTCTGACATGTCCGTATTCGCTTGACATAATGATTAGTTGACTGTTGGGTATTTTACCGGTTCGTCCTCATGGGCTTAGTCAGGGGCTGCACAGTCAGGAGGCACGAATGGGCAAAGCCAGGTCAAGAGTGACAGGGCACGTTGTCCGGTGGAACCTTCTCGTTGGTCCAGCCGTGACTCAGCTCAGACGAACGGGCGGCGACCCTGGTCAAGTCCAGGTGGTGGCCGCGTGTTAGCGGCATGCATGCAGGTTAGCGCGGTGGCCGCTGCCGTCTACTGACCGGTAGACGTCCGAAAAAGGGGCACTGGGCGGTTCCGACAGTTTATCCACAAGGTGAAGCGGAAACCGAAGCCTCGAGCGTATGAAGTTACGGCCAAGACCGTCTTGCTCAGCGGCTGAGAAACATGACCTCTTCGAAGACAACGCTCACTCTGATGAAAATCTGTAACGCGGGCCACTGTCGCCAGTTTGAGACGCGTCTTCCTGGTGATGCACGTAACGACCACCGGCTCAGTTATTTCAGTCACTGAGGACAGGCAACTCGCGATAGCATCTCTTCGAAGCCTCGTCCGAATTGACGCAGTCGCGACGTAGTAGTCGACTAAGACAGTTGATGGGCATTGATAGGTCATAACTAAGCAGAATGTTCGGTTTGAAGGTGCTTGTTGCCTGATGATTGAATACCAACTGAACAAGTAAAGTTGAGGGGTACCACAGTGCTTGTAAACGACTAGTCGTGTCTATGTTTGACGCAGAGAATCATGGGGACTGGTCAAGCCAGCCTCTGTGTGAGTTAATGCAAATACTCATCCGAAAGCAGTAAAAGTAGCTGAAACAGACTTACACATGCGTTGGAAAAGACGTCTTCCACTTTGTCGTCCATGTCATGAGATCATATACGGACTCCCGTGGGTCATTCCTTCCCAACGATTAAGGATACTGCGGACGGCCGCTTATAGACGTGCTCTTGAACAGGTCCGCAAAGCGCTCTTCCACGTATAAAAGGATCTTTAACTTGGTGTCAGACTGCAATATTAATTTCTCTTTAAGAATAATTTATGTCCAGATAACGCCAGTACAAAACTTTCCCAGCGGGTAGGGGGGCAGGCACATAAGCAGCTTTTTAGGAGTGCAACAGGCCAGACGCATTATGCACGACTTAGTTCCCTTCTGCCAGTACGTCGACAGGTTCCATTAACCGATCCGATGCTGACCAGCCCGCAGACCTTTTCGTTGACGGGGATCGCAGAATGGAATCTCGAAGCAAGTTTTGTCATTGCTAATATGTCTATTATGGTGGATGGGAGAGGGGACTTAACCACAGACTTATGCTTCTTTGGTTTTTCTTGGAAATCCTTCCGGGCATACTTTCAGTCTCGGCCTGAAGGTTTATATTAATATTTAAACTAAAATCTGTCAGGCTCAGTGGGATAACCGCATAAAATTCACATTCTGTCAACAGACAGTCAGCGGTTTGCAAATTTATCCGGACTGCTAAGGGAAAGTACTCTCTGATAACTGCCTACAAACCGTGCTCATTTTATTCGACTGTAGCCTAGGTTTCCCAAATGGACGACTCCGAAGCGTTAGTTCCCAAGGTCATTTTGGTTATCGATCAGGCTCCCGAGGGAAGTCTGTTTCGTTCCGATTAAGGGGCCAACGCTTATTTGACACACCGGAGACGTGGACTTTAACCCACACCATCAGCTGCGTTTGATTTCGTCTTCAGGCGGCCTAAATCAGTCGTGCCACCGGCATACGACGGAAGAGAGACAGTGCGATATTTAATACAATATATCTGATGCTCAATTAAAAGTCGTGATTGGGAAAATTGTCAGCTGTTAAGGTTACTTGTTCCTCGGGACTGAGGGGCGGATGTTAGTGACGGCTCTTCCGTAATACATTACGGCAACTCTCACGGGTATGACATCCTACTGGATGAGGTGGACGATTGCCTGAAAAACTCTGCTCCATACAAATTGCTAGTCATCCTTATCTATCCTTTACGTCGGGCGATAACGGGTGTGCAACGAGACAGCTTGGCCGAAGCTACAAAAACATCCATTACCCCAGTCTGCCCCGTGCACAAGTCAGCAATGAGTCCCGCGATTGCGTTGATCTTTGCTGTTTTCGACGGACAAACTGTAATAATCGGTCCTTAGTAAAAAAGGGCTTATAGTACGTGCGCATTAGTAGTCCATCGGTATGTCTGATTGACATGTTGCCTGTGATGCCGATTGGGAACCAGTCGGGGGAGGGGGGGGGGCGGCAACATGCATCTGTCTGGCAGTTGACTCCGACTTGGTGAAATTGTCCACCTCGTAGCAAGATTACACCAAAACTAAATCTGCCCTTCACAATGCGTATGATCTGCGCTGTCGGTCGTGGTTTCTACTAGCTAACAGCACGGGACTGACGCGGTGCAGTCGGCACGATCCACCAGTCTGCAAGGTCACTGTAGGCCACCTCTTCTACCGTCCTTTTCACTTTTCTTTCAACTGTCAGAATGCGCATCCGCATCTTAGTTCGTTTTTGTCGGTGTTGGTGCCTTGACTCGCATGCGCAAACGCGCACATCTTCAAGTTGCCGTCTGGGAAGGCCGTATCAGCCGTCTGATCGCTGTGTGTACTGACGACTTCATGGAAAATCGAGAGAAATTTAACGTCGGAGGCGCATATATGGCCGCCTACCAAATTTGTGCATGCAGACCGTAAGCGCGAGCATGCACGCACAGACAAGAAAACATTTAGCGTCGGGATAAAAATACTGAAAAGCCTTAGTCCAGACAAAACAGAGTCAGTTATTTTCCGACTATACTGCATGATCACGACTGAAACGCCGGTCGCGGTTTTTTTCCATGAAGCCTTCAGAAATGTTCGCAAGGAGCTGACGCAGTCCATTCAGTAAACGAAGTTGTCGGCCTAGCCTAAACATTTTGTAAAAATTTCATCCTAAAAGTGCCACCTTACAGGTAATATTAGAAGCTGACAATGAGGGATATCGAAACAAACCCTGTTATACTGGCAGGAATAAATTCGAGGAAAAGTCTACTGTAGGTGATGCAACGGAAATGTTCTACCCAATCGGAAACCGACGCAAGATCATCGACAGAAACCACTAACTAATACTGAGTGACCTTCAGATAAATGAAAACACCATAGAAGTACTAAAAGTGCTATTACTCTTATTAGAAACAGCGATTTTCTTTGGAAAAGTGGAAATGCCTAAAACTCGAAACTTAATGTCTGACGAGTAAAGTCCAGTTGTAGAACAACGGAAAACATATTTATGGAAATATCAGAGTAAATTAATCTGTATGGGTACAATAACGTTGGAAATAAAACACATTTTATGCACCCCCGAAGTCAATTTCCCTCGAAAACTACCGAAAATGAGTATCTGCTAGGATCTGACAAAAGGCCTTCGACGCAGGAAATCCTGATGGGTTCTGGAGAATCATGCTGAAATTTGGATAACCTGAACGGTTCACTCAGGTGTTAAGATAACTTCATGACGGGGTGTCGACCCTCATCACGGACAACGGGGCAATCTCTGAAGCATTCTCAGTGAAAAATGGGGCGAGGCAGGGCTGCGCACTCGTCCCCATTCTATGCAGTTACACGTTTACCGCCATGCTGACGGACGTCTACCGTGAGAAGGAGGTCGAAATCTACCACCGAATCACCACCGCTAAGAAAGAGGGGAACATGCGGCGGGATGTGGGCCTCTTCACCTTTGTTTGCTCCAACTTCGGCCTGACCATAAGAACGGAGAGGACAGCTGCCCTACAACAACGGGCACCAAATGCTGACTTCACCTAGCCCCGTTTCGACGTCTTTGGACAAATTCGTATACCTTGGGATCACAATTTCAAGAATCATCAAGATCGACAACAAAATCGCAAGTCAGATCTCCAAAGCCATCCAAGCCTTCGGCCGGTTAATGGACTCCGTCTGAAACCGTCGTAGCATCCTACTCAACAAAAAACTGGGGATTTGCGGGAATGTTGTCCTGACAACTCTCTTGTATGGACCGGAGGCGTGGGCTGCTTATGGAGGCCAATCAATAAGATTCAACTACTTTCACCTCAGATGCCTCTGAAGGATACAGGAGGCGAAGTGGCAGGCAAGGATCCCAGACACCGATATCTTGGAAGGGACCGGAGACCTCAGTACTAATGTCATGCTGAGACAAGTATAATTGCGATGGAGTGGCCACTTTGTGGAGGTGGACGACGAACGCCAGCCCGAACGGCTATTTTACAGCAGCGTAGCTACTGGTAGTCACCGACAAGGTGGACAAAAGTATCACTACAAGGACCCCTTGATGAGCTCACTCAAGCACCTGCAAATCAACCCGGAAACCTAGGTGAGCCTTGGTTAAGGTCGCCAGGCATGGCGTACTGTCGTAAAGGCTAGAGTCGCCATCTTTGAAGTCATTTGAAGGGCCGTTGGCGAAGCAAAGAGAGAGAGACTCAAAACTCGTGTGTTGCGGTCCAATGACGTAAGCACCCAACCTCCGCTATACCATCTACATTGCCAACGGACATTGCGGGCAAGAAACGGACTCGCTGGACATCGGCGGACCCAGTGCAATGTCAACGCTACCAAAGAGCCTCGCATTTCACACCGCCACTACTACCAGCAATAGTCTTACCAATTAAGACGCTCCCACCATCAAGTAGAACATCCCCATCATTGACTCTACAGCCAAAAATATCGGCTTAACACCAACCTGTCCCCATTACGATTGCACATTTTCATTTCGCATTGGCCTGGTGGGTCTTTCACGAAGACTCCGCACCGTGGTCAACGAACCCGTGTCTGCAGCCCCGACGTACACTAGTCACACATGCCTAGCCTGTCCACAATGCCTCAGGACATTCAGATACCGCATGGGTTTTTTGGCATATGCACCTCCATGCGAATCTTTGATCAAACCGCACTCCGCAACCCGTAATCGCACCTTGCCCTACCAGCCAACACCCATCCCTAGGTCATAAATGAATCCCCTCTACACCGTACGCCACAACCCGTAAAAAGCATACCTCTTCCGCCAGCAAGAACATGACCCGCTTTTTCTTCGCGTTTTTGGCCGGCGAACGTCATGTGTCAGGACACGCACTCATCGCGTAAGTAGGAAGCACGTTCTTTGGAGTGTCCTGATACATGAGGTAGTGACCAGGTCGTGTGCAACACACGTCGATGGACTGTCAAGCTCTGCCAACTACTTGCGTCCAGCACCATAATCTGTTTGTTGATAGGCTCGGACAGTCGACTGGTGCATCTGAGGGGCCGGAGAGAGTGAGATCGATATTGGGAAATTAATCGCCAAGGCAAATCAACACATTATCTCCCTCCTTTGTCGTGGCTTAGAAGGTTGACGACTGTCTGACTAACTCGTTCCTCACAGGAGTGTTTTGGAGTGGCTGGAAGACTGAGTCAGGCTCCCTCTTACTGTGCCCTGCATAACATTCTGATGTGAGATCCCAGTCACCATCACAGAGGCCTGCTCCATCGCCTGTGTTTAACAGGAAGGTGTCGTGCACGCGTAGACGGACCGTTTAGCTTTTTCAGTCACTGCGCCTGCCCCCCTACCTCCGGTCGTTCTGTCTATGCTTTGCCATCGCGCAAGACGGCTGATAGAGGTGAGAATTCCGTAGATTCTACGTAAGTCTGCCCCACTATGAACTTATTCACATACAAGTCACCGTCCTGCGTCCACTCCCCGGCACACTTCGTGGATGTGTGCGATTGTGACGGTCAAACCGCCTGACAGTGTTACGAGATTTCGATGTAGTTTTTTTGCGTTGTTTTGGGTGCCGCTGAGCAAAACGGAGAGGGTTTCGCTGGAATCCACCTGCATGAGCGTCACAGGAATACAGGTTTTCATAAAGTCACATATCCAGAGGCCGGGCAGCGACTAAGAAATTTGAAATCGTAAGCGTACCATTGTCTGTGTATCAAAAGAACTTTTCTTAGGCAAGATTTCTCTGTGATTTTCGACCGCGGTGGAGTCCGTTGAGTTTGAAATGCAAAACCACCATTTACTAGTTCGACCGGTTTGAATGGTAGACGTCAAAGCAGACAACTGGACAACCGTTTCAGTCGACTGGATCTACCGTCTATTTTCGAAGATTGGAAACGCCCACAAAATCACAGTTATACGCAATCCGTCCTGCCTATAATTATTCACAATGCGACACCTACGGGTGAATACAGTAGGTGAGATAACTCATTAAATGTCAACCGAGATTCCGAAATGCATTTTCGTTTAGAAAAGACTAATTAAGTACGGTTGTAAAACTAATCGTCTCGCAGCGTAATGCCATAATAATTCAGTCACCTCAGGATGTCCGCTTTCGAACGAACTTCTTCTCGATTGCACGCAAAAACTATATCCTGTAAAAAGGACTACTTACTTGGCATGCATTTTCCTCATTGATTTTCATTGTCCTTAAAACTTCAGTTATATTTCAGGGGAAACATGCCCAAAATATTCATTCTTTTGCTCATTCGGTAGAAAATTACGTCTTCTTCCAATTTTATACTTGAAGGAAGGGTAGAATTCGGTTTTCAAAAACTGTTTCAATTCCCGAGTAATTTTCCACCCCGACCTGCCGTTACACTGACATTCAGGGTTTGCAAACTGCAAGCCGTACGTTTTGTGCTTATGGAAAACCATACGTTTCCTTAGGTTTTTAAGAGGAGACTATGTGGGGTTCATAAAATTTGGCAGTGGATTTGAGTCATGTTGTTAAATTTGCAATCCAAATTGGTAAATGCAGAGACATGGCGTTTTATGAATGGCCACTCCACGGTATTGAAAAATCGCACAATTAGAAACTTCTTTAAAACCGAATTTTACCCGTCCTTCGAGTATAAAATTGGAGGAGGACGTAATTTTCTACCGAATGAGAAAAAGAATGAATATTTTTATGCATACGTTCCATTAAATATAATTTACATTTTAAGAGTATCCATAAGCAATGAGAAAAAATGCATGTAACTTAAGTATTCATTTTTTACAGAGTATGTTTTTACATGCAGCCGGAAAGAAGTTCATTCTAAAGCCGGCATCCTGAAGTAACTGAATTATTAGAGAATTATGCTTCATCATGATTAATTTTACAACTCTACTTAACTAGTCTTTTCGAAACGAAAACACATTTCGGAATTTCGGTTGACATTTCATGAGTTAGCCCACGTACTGTATATGTATGCCAGTCGGGAATACAGTCTTTCACCTGTGTGAATATTCGAAATTCGTCAGTAAGCTTCGTTATGCCTGGTTCTACTGTGAACTTTTGTGCTTTTTTAAGAACTCACTTGATGCCTTCGAGTCCATTCCAACTGTCGGTCAGCTTGCTGTCAACCTAACAACACCTCCATAGCCTTAACATGTTTTTCTTTATAGTTTCGTCAAAGCATACCAAACGGGCAAGGTCATGTTGACGCAGTAAACATGGTAACCGCCACTCGGACGCTCGAGAACAGGGGCACGACAGCCGTACTTTATTGCTAACACTTTATGCCTCGAGACCTTTACGACCCGTCAAAGCCGGCACTAAAGCCTGCAAAACTGGACTGCAGAAGGAGGTAGACCAGGTTCCAGTCCGTTCCCAAATCCTTCGCTCACTGCAAGGGCACAGAGTGCTAAGTCGGCGTCCGGCTCGTGTTACCAGCACGGTACCCAAAGCTGTAGATGTACCTTGACTACTACGACTGCAGGTCAAGTCCCGTTAAGTAGGAGAGGATAGGTTGACCGGCTAGCAGATCGTAGTCCGCACAAGAGGTGTGAAGAGTAGGCGCCGTAAACTGCGCGGATCGCACGCCCGCGCCGGGCAGATGATGGACGTGAGCGTGCAAGCAAGCCTCGGCAGTGTTTGATTGGCCGGGATGAATGGTTGGATTGGTAGACTGAAACAAAGCGAGTGGCCTTGAGAATCACATGTGTTGTTGCAAAGTCGGGAAGGGCTTACCGGCGAGCTTCTAAAGCGGGTGCACCAGTCATTCGCATGTAAACATGTGTTAGATGAGAACTATCGCATAGGCCCTGATGCTGGGAGTAGGGCAATTTCATTACTACGAAATTTTGCTTTATGAGCTGGGTCACTGAATGCAAGTTCATAGCTTCCTCGGCTAATTTCTATGAAAGTTTCTCTGGTTAACAGGAAGTTATCCCCCATATACGCACATATCGGCTCCAACCGTTTTGTTCCTAAATATTTCCCACAAATTCGTCGGCTTCTATGACTTTCCATCTGCGTGGGTAGTTGAGAATCGGATCAGTTTGCTCAGCAGTGCGCCATCTTTCTTTCTTTGAGGATGTCATTGGTGTAAGGGGCTGTACCGACACATTCACTTTATTACTTTGCCAATACACATTGACAGTAACCTTCGTCGGTAAAAATAACCCGTCTCCCAGTTCTAGGCCCAAGTTCCTTCAAAAGAGTTCTTTCAGATTGGCGTTTTTATAGTTTTTGTGAGAAACTTTAATTCCGTAATGCAGTTTCGGCTCCAGTCCCTGAGATTTAAAAGGCCCCATTTCCTTCTGCTGGGCTTCAAACAGCGCATCTGCCCTTTTTAATTTCTCGCGAATAGGTTCCGTCTAGTTGTACGTGAATATTGGTTGATAAGGCGGGGTCGATTAGCACATGTGACGTTAACGAATTTACCGTCAGAGTAGAGGGCATCATCTACCGAAGTAGATAGCAAGTCGACTAGCTGGCAATATAAGTCATTAAGCTCCGGAGGTCGACTGTACCCTTAGGTGCACAGAAGCCGGGACTTCTAAAGGGGACTTCAATTTGAAACTTATC